AAAAAATATGATAAGGTTGGTAAACTAATAAACAGTAAAGTTAGTGGTAGAAGAATGAACAGATATTGAAGAATCATGTAGCAGGTATTCTGAGCCAAATCCTACCTTCCCATTCTGCCCAAACCATTTTATCTCTTTTGAATGATATGATTTATGTTCTGTATGTTTGTGTATGCATACAATAATGTATGCAATATGCTTATTAGTCACCTGCTGCATGTATCCAAATGGAGATGATGCTCGTCTTCTCTCCACACCACTGAAAACACTGCCTGACCGACTGGGAACCTTTTTCTCCTCTCCTTTACCCTGCCAATAATGGTAAGAATTCATAATTAAACAGTCAATTATCACACAATAACTACTGTAATAAAGTTAAAAGCCCGAGGAAACAAAATTGTTGGTTGAAACGTGTCATATGCAGTATCTTCTCATACTATAGACATATTTTGGTTTTCTACTGCCCAGGTGCTTAATTTATCACATCAGACCTGCTAACAAATAGAAGATACTGCTTTTTAAAGCAATTTTAAAGCGTTTCCTTGTCACTATCAAGTTTCCTCACCAGCCCCTGCCAGCTATCTTCATTTCAGATTCCAAAGGATTGAGTTGTAGCTAAGAGAGAGGGTGAACCTGCAACAGAATATGTTGTAAGGACAGAGGGGCCATTATAAATCCTCTAATGTATAAATGTAGGACACAGGATTTCCCATGGTTTATTCCAGCTTCAAGTCCAGCAGCTGCATATGAACTACAGTGTATATATTAGAAACTTAGGCAATCTTATTTAAAACATTTACAGTGGCAGGCAAGGCACTGTAATCCTTGATAAATGCTCGAGACATTAACTGTTTACTATTTTCATGTTGTTTTAGTGTTTTATTAAAGCTTTGTTTTTGCACATGCTGCCTGATTAGCCCCACAACATCCCCTTGAGGCAAGTAACATAGTTTGCCTGCCCCACGTTGCAAATGAGACAAAAAAGGGGAGGTCAAATGGTTTCCCAAATTCACTCAGGAAGTCCCTGGAAGATGTGGAAAAGGACCAAGATATCCTGATTCCTTGCTTGCAACGAGCCTTTCCCTTAATCATCCTATGGACCCATCATCTCTAATGGAGACTTTTGGAAGCAGACCTGCTTAGGTGGTATTTATCTTCTCTCCAGAAACAGGCTTTGATGAGACAGTCAGGAAGACTAACGCATGAACAGAAGCACTGTACATACTCAAATAATATAGTTGAAATTTGCTATTTTTAAATGAGAATGGAGAATTAAATAAGTCCTTTAATAACAGCTCCTCATAATAAACTAGACAACGTTATGGCAGTGGCATAGCTCTTGAAGTTACCTCACTTATTTATGAGTAAGGTTACTACTAAGAAGTGTAAAGAGCAATGGAGCAACGATGGAAACTAACACATATTGCTTTTGCCTTTCAGTGGTAAGAGAGGCTGAACAAATACTCACTTGTGCCTTCCAGAGGCTGGGCTTAAAAGAAAAGAGGCTTTGCTATTATGCAGCTCTTGCAGGGGGCTTCCCTCACTGCCAGGAAGCCTTCAGTAGGTCACGTAAAGGAGCTGGATTTGTTCCATAAGTGCCAAGCAGGCACCCAGAGAACATACTGTGGTAGTCAGCTAATAGCAAGGGAAGGCCTGCGCTGTTGTCCTTCGTGCTACCCCCCCAGGTAGATGGGCCAGCTCAGCAAAAGCTTTGTGGGAAGAAAACATAAAATTTCTCCCCAAAGACTGCAGTTGTTCAGTTTGACATAAAGCACAAATGGCAACTGATTTGAATAAAAGAAAAGTAAGAAAAAATATCATTTCCACCTTTGCCAGAGGCCTCCTCTTCTTCAGCATGAGCCTGATGGGACCAGGAACAAGACATTGCAAGCTATGGAAAGCACTTTGATCCTAAACCGGACTGGGAGTAGCTTTAGATTCATGCACTGCCACAGATACTTTGTCCTTGGCTGTACTGAATCAATTTGTTCAAAGTTATGCTGTCACTGAGGGGACAGAAAAGAGGAGGGGATGGGAAACTTTTAAATAAAGACAGGAAAAAGGGTTTCAAAGACTTATGTGTCCTCCTCTTATTCTCCTGAGAGATTTCAAAGATAACCGGTTTAAGGATAATTTTTTTGTGAAAAGAATAGCCTGTAAACTGTTTACAGAGCTGCGTTCTCTGCCTATCACTTTCTAAAATTTCTTGCTCTATTTTCCAGTTTAAGAAGAGTAATTCACCTTTCCCATTTGTTCCCCATAAAAGCGAGGCTGTTGCCCTCCTGGCCAAGATTTTATTTCCTTGATCCTAATCAGAAATCTTATAGACAGGCAACAAACAGATGGAAAAAATAAGTCTGTGAAAACACAAAAGTGCATTACTTTGAAATATTGCATTCTTGCACTATAAGTATTGCCAATGGCCTTGCCAGACATTTCTGTATGGAGGCAACGTGCTTTGGAGAAAGGAGCATGAGTTCTTGGATTTTAGACTTCACTTGACGTTGCTGTGTGGCCTTGAGTAACACTGCACTGATCCTCAATTTTCATCTGTCTAAAAAGAGGATAACAAAGTATACATGTTCTTACAGGCATATGTCTTTATCCAGGTACTCATGTGGTTCCCATCACCAGTAACATCTCAACACATGTGTACATGGTATTTAAAATATGTAAAGGTCTTTTAATGCTACTTAGGATAGTTTGCAAGTCCAGTAATTTCCCAGCTCTTACAGGAATGTTCTCTCCTCAAAGCTGGCCAAACAATTACATTTTGTAAAAAATAAACTTTTGCAAAGCCTATAATCAATAGAAAAAAATCCATTATATTTTAATAATAAAATTCCAAGAAAAACAATTTTACAAGCAAGCACTCTGCTCTAGAGGTCACAGCTCTGTTAATGCACTGAAACTGTCTGGAAACTCGGTGTGAGAACTCTTTAACAATTTCACTATGAAAGCTCAGAAATATTCAAGAAAAGACAAGGAGTGTAAAGAGCAATTAGCACGTAAGTATTTAAAAAAAGATCATGTATAGACTTCTCAAGGGCTCCTTCTGAAAGACAGACATGAAATCTCTGTTTTTTTAATAGGAATGACAGAATACACTGAAAGTGCAGGTGAATCTATGTTAACCAATTGCAGCATATATAGATTTTTAAAATTTCATCCCTCTTTTCCACTTTTTCCCCTCTGCACAAAAAAATGGCTAAAATACATTTTCCCCTCTGCTTAACAAAAGGAGTATTCCATTGACTCATCTGCTTCAAGTTAAACATACGTATATGCATTGGCAGGATTGGGAACTAATTGTCCTAGGAGTGGATCATATGTCAAGCTTGCGTTCTAACAGTAAGATTTCAGTAGCTTTGGATCAGACTGAGAAAGAGGATATCTGAATTCCTGTATGTTTGCTCATAAAAGAGTGTGTATGCAGTCTGTCAGCTCTCACGTGAGCCTCTACAAGCCTTACCTCTGCTGTTTTGCCTCTCTTCTTTTGCATCAGTCTTTCTTTTTTTCTTTCCAAGGCAGGTAGAATATTGTCAGTAGCCAGGTTGCTTCGGAACTCACAAAAATTTGGCCAAAATTTAAACAGAAGTGCAAAAATAGTCATCTGAACAGAAAGAAAAGAAAGTCTCTCTTGACTGTACTAGGAAAACAGAGGTTACTGTAAAATAAAATGTAGTTTTCCATGAGAATGAAATAGCTATTTCTTTTTGAATACACAGCCCTGTTCCTCCCACGTACTGTGTCCTGACATTTCAGCCCAGCTTTGCTCGGCACATGCTTTTCATCAGTGTGTTTATTACTGGTGAGAAATCTTCCTAAAACACAGTTAAAAAGCACTTTCTTTTTTTTTTGTATTTCCCTAAACAATTGTTTGCATTAATGAAAACATCCATCATTTTTACAACTATTCTTGATAAAATATACAATAGTAGAATTGCTTTTGCACCACTGTTCTGCTCAAGTATTTCAAATATTCTGTTCATTAGGGAGAGCTTTTTTTTTTCCTGCTTAAGCGAAAGGAAATACTTTTTTTGTCTCTGGAAAGGCTCTTAAACCACATTACAGATCTATGAGCAAATCTTGGATAATTTTTAAATGATATAATCTCTCACAGGGTCTTTTTTGAACTAGAGTAAGAAAAACAATTTTACAAAAGCAATCAGAGGGGCTCAGTGCATTCTATTGCTGCACGTACCAAGGCCCACATTTTTCAAGTTATTTAGAAGTTTATCTCTCATTGAGAAACTTGGCTTTAAAGGGAGTCAGGCATGCTTAGCACCTCACTGATTCTGGCTCAACCCACTCAAAAGTGACATTTGAGTCACTGTCATATTCCAGTCACAACTTTTTTTTTGCCAAGTTCTTCCTTTGGTTTTGTGCTGCATTTCTGGAATTTGCTGTTTTACACAGTCTTAACTCTTAAATGGGCCTTCTTATTTCTCCTAAGATATGTATGAATCCTTCTCTCTGACAAGCCATTCATCTCCTGAGATCCAAATGCTTTATGGACTCACCTTGGACTGATAGTAGTGAAGTTTCACAAATCGCCATTAAGGCTGCTTAGTACAAATATCAGGGAAAGAAAAATGTCTACAGTAATTTAACATAAACTCTATGTTATAGGGAAGGGAAAGACATTCAGTAAGCAATGCTGTCCTTGTCCTTTACTGACATCTATGTTTTTTACATATTTATATTAATATATGAATGAATTTTCTAACTACTAATTACTCCCCCGATGTTAAAAAAAAAAAAAAAGGCAGTTCAAAAACGAGGAAAGGTCACCCACTGTCAGGAATCAGGTAGCTGAAAGAAATTGTCCAATTTATTGAGTAGTTAATATCTGAAGTTTCTCTGTCATCTCTAGCATATAATCTCTATTGAAATGGATGACCACAATATTTTAATTTGTGCCTAAGCTTTGGAGTCCAATATGTTACAGAGATTATTCCACTTTTTTTTTTTTTTTTACCTGTGCCTCTCTAAAAACATAGGGTCCTAGTTCCTTCCTGTGCTCCAGAATCTTCTCTGCCTGTTCAGTTGGGATGTCAATCTGCAGAGCTGGTGGCACAGCAGAATTAATAAAGCAGTTGATAATAGTTGTGATTTTATTCTGGATTGTGGCATTATCACAATGAGAATGGCACAAGTCCTGAAAGATGAAAAACAGACATTTCAGTCAATGCAGATAGAGCGAGAAGCCTCTTTACAGGGGGGCAGTGATCAAAGAACAATAGTCATACAAAACTATAAAAACAGATTCCTTCAGAACAAACAGGATCAAATACTTATAGCAAATGTCGATGCTTACAGCAACAGGAAAAGCATTAGTGAGGCTTCTGGCTTGCAAGAGCACAGATAGAGCTTGAAGAGCTTTAGAGTTTTAAGCTTTGCCCGCACATTCTGACGGAAGAGCACAGTTCATATCTCTCATTCAATCTAAGCACATTACTGGCAAGTAGGAGGCATTTCTGAAGAGAGAAACCCACCTCCAGGTGTGAAATGCACTGATTTTCATGAGTCTGCAGTGACTGCTCTAACTAAAATGACAAAGATGCTCTATAAACTACACAGAGGGGAATCACTTAGGGTGGTACAAAGCATTGTAACCACAAATGCCACAAGCGATGGTACGAAAGGGTGCTAGTGCTATCAGCTACCCACAGGGTCTTCCATTCACTGAGCTGTAGCTTTCAGATTTTGAAATAGTTCTGTAAAGAGTAGATGGAACTCTCAGAACGGTGAGGTCTAGGCATTTCCTATCCTATTTCATGTGATCATACTCTTCTTGTAAAACTTGTGATTACTGTGTTTTCACCCTGTTACGATGCTACCAGTGGATTTTGACAGCAGAGAAAAATCATTCAAAAGACTTCTTTCAAACCCTTTAAAATATATGCTTTCCATCTATCCATAAACATCAAGAAAATAAGAAAATTCTGTAACACTAGGAGATTATCATATATATCTACTAGAGACACAATGACAATGAACACTCCAGAGAAATTACAGGAAAAGAATGAAGAATAAGCATCTAGTTTTGGTAGAGGAGGTTAGATATTTACTCTGGAAAGAAATTAAAAACAGGACTTTTAACCAGAAATGGGGTATGTGAAAGAGCTGTTTTGTTTTATTACAAATACTTTCTAGTTTTGTAAAGGGAGAAAAGAATGATAACAGTTACAGCGAAGAAAGTAAGGCAATACAAAAACATGCTCAATATATCCTAAGAATATATTATGGATTCCTTTGCTCATCTAGCAAAGACAGCGAGCGGGAGAAGGAGCTATTAGCTATGAAGAAGGATGAAACAGGAACATAGACAAACACATGGAAATGATCCTTAGCGTTATAGTTCCCCATATTTGTTTTAGACGAATAATTATTTTTATTTTTCATTTGTCCACAAATGTGCCGCCAGCCCAATGGGTTATGAAAAACCGCACAGACATCAACTCCCAGAGGGAGTTTTGCCAAAGCAGATGGCATGATAGGGCTGGGGAAAGCGAAGTGTGCGCCAGGCAAAGTGCTGCCCACAGCTTTGGCCACGTTCCCGCAGTTCAGCCTGACCCACGACGCGCCGGCTACTCCAGCCCTTTGCTCCTATAAAGAGCATCAACTGTCAAGCGTGACGAATCGCGTGCGTGCGGAATTGTGGTCAGATTGTACTCTTTCTTGATAAGAGGACAAATAAAATTAACATAAATGGAGGAGAGAGGGTGGGACGCAAAACAATGAAGGTTTTCTTCGGAGCGCAATTCCACAAAGAAAACAGTCTGAACTGCGCTCCACATGGATTTGCAAGCAGTTTCCATTTTATCCATGATGGAGCAATGAAGAGTTACAAATCTGGAACAGTACCAGGTATCTGAAGAGGGATTGATGTCGCGTAGCTGCAAGTGCCTTTCTAGACTAAACTCCTGTATCTGGAGAACACTGCAGCCTATGAGTCTTCCCCTTTGCATTAGAAACTGCTTGAGGAAGGATTGCCCTCTGGAAGCACAGGACCTCCAGCTCCTGATGTAGACCCCTAAATCAGAGACCAAAAGCAGAATGAGGAACAAGCGAAAGAGCCACCATGTCCCTGCATCCAGCCCAGGATTCCCTGGCAGTGCCGGGATGTAAGAGCAGACTCCTGACGTTTCCCATGGTGTGGCCATCATGCTGGAGCAATCTCACCCAGGGCGAGGAGCTGGCCTGGTCAGAGGCGATCCCTGGGTCTCCCAGTCCATCATGTTCCACGTGCTCTGCGCAGTGAAACATGTCCACACAGAATAAGGGAGCACAGAATAAGGGTCTGCACTTACGCACTTTTGGGCTAGCTACTATTTTTCATATGTACGTTTGCCCTGCATTTAAAAGCTTTCTCTGATTTTAGGGGAATTACCAAATCCAGCAATAATCCCTCTATTTAACAGCCTGAAACTGTAAAGAGAATGAAGATTTAAGTGTGTTCACTGCATTTTGAACTGCTGAACAGATGTACAGAAAAATCTGGACATTAACTAGTTAATAGTATCCCTTTAGAGACTCAGAAGAATGTTATAGTTAGAAGAAGCATGAAAAAAATACAGCAGTAATACATTCAAGTCCTTTAAAATAGTCACCTCGAAGAAGTGAGGGTTTTCATGGAAGAAAGAAGCGTTAAACAGTGAAGGTTTTACAATGAACAAAAATGCTCGGAGATATTCTAGTTAAAATTCTGCTCATGTGCACCAATGGATGCATTTGCTTACAAACCGAATGATATTCCTTTCCGTCCGTTGTACCTCCATACCTTGTACTTCTGCACCTCCTGCCAAAAGCGCACTCCGTTCGCCAGCAGGTCTCCCTTCAGTGACACAAAGCGTTGAAACTGATTTGCTGTCACTGGATTCAACAGCGCTTTGCGGAAAGCAATAATTTCCCTAGATGAAGAAACCCACTTATTGTCCACATGCTGTCAAAAGAAGAAATGAATGCACCAAATAAACTTTGGTTCAAAAAGCAATAACAAAGGCATTAGCTAGCGTAAACTGTGTGATTCTTATCTTTGCACTGACCCTAACTTTCAGTAGTTTATGACATGGATACAATAGAATTTGGCAAGGTTTCATTTCTTTCTTTCCTTCTTTTCATACTTTTTTTTTTCCAGTTTGGTTTGGGCAACATTTTTTGGAAGACATGATGGGAGAGGAAATGACTGACAATGATTTAGACCATATGACTACATACTATAAAGTATGGAAACAGCTATTGTTATTGATTATGGCAACAGGCTACTTTTCTAGGGAACAGCTTGCGTTTTGTGCAAACAAACAACAAAGCAAAAGGAACAGACAAACTGCATAGCTAGGAGTTGTAAAATGCTTCTGACAGGGATCGCCCTAACAGAAAGAGCTTTGAAATGTGTTGCCATGATCACCAACAGAAGCTGGAGAGTCTCATCTCTGCAGAGGAGAGCTACCAATAGTCAACGAGAATTTAAAGCCACTGAGGCATTTTGGTGCCCCTGGCACCCAGGAGGGGTGGCAGAGGGAGATGCCTCATGCAGGGGCTGCTTGCTTGCAGGGCACTTTGCAAAGACTTGTCTTCCTGAGCAAACCCTCCTGCGCAGAGGTGCGGCCAGACTATCCCCCTTTGCTATCAACTGGATGAGTCAAAACCATCTTGTAACGTTGGCATAAAATTCTCAAAATCCATCAGAGATGGAGCGCTGTTCAATGGCTAGCGTGGGGCAGGAATGTTTTTAGTTATTTTGGACAGTATTGAATATCTAATCCAAAGTAAAAGCCTTTCTGCAGCTTCTCTTTAAAGCAGGAGTTACACACAGCAGAGCCTCGCCGTGGGGAAAGCCTGTCCTGGCTGGAGAGAGTGAGGTGGTTGTCCAAGGAGTCTTCTGCATTAAAACAAAGATCAACATAGACAACAAAACAGCATCTTCCCAGCCTTCCTCCGAATCACCAAACATGTTCTGTTCAAAGGAGTAAGATCACTGTGACCAAGATTTAGGCAACTTTTGGGAAAAATCATTTCTGGGCACAATAAAGAGAAGCACAGAGTGCTGCTCCCACCCCTGTACCAATGTACAAGCATTGCTTATCTTATGGGTCAACAACCCTAAAACAAAACATGGAAAATTACCATCTTCCTGACAAACAGATGAGGAGAAAACTCGATTTACAGAACCCACATGCACTTTGGATCCCTTTTGAGCTAATGGTTTGCATGGATAATTAGTGACCGGGTCTCCTGTTTGATTTCAACAGACAATAAAAGTTCAACTGAATAAATGTACACAACTTGTATGTTGGCAATCACAAAGAGTTCACTGCTCTTCAAGAGAAAAAAAAATCGCAAACATCTGATGAAATGTATTATTACAGAGGTTTAAGATGTTTAAAATCGATATTATCTCACTGCTGCAAGATTAAAATACAATTGTAAATGAAACAGATACTGTAAGATATGATTAAACCTGCCCACACCACTACATACTTCACATTCCCTTTTGTGTCTGCACGTAATCCACTCGCAATAATAAATAAACTACCAGATACTGGAATGAACAGCTTGTCCCAATAAGTCTTCTGCATGCAAAATACAGATAAATGTGAATTAAGGTACAATATCTGTCCCAGAGGGGTTAAGAGTGCTCTACAGCCCAGGACAAGAGATACACTCTTTTTTTTTTCAGGCATGATCTCTCCAGACAAGAAAGGAGATAAATTTGTCTTGGTCATCCAGCAGGGAACTAAGTTCATCAGTAATGTGTGTGATCAGTCCATCGTAGTCAGTAAAGTTAGGCCTGCTTTTGCCAGAGTCATATTTGAGCCTCACATTGTTAAAAAGGAATTGCAAAGGAAGTGCAAGGTACAAACAGGAGAGAATGAAATTGTAGACACAAGAGGCATAAAAAACTTCACTTGCCTTCCACATCCTAGTTGTCTTCTTCTTCTGGATTAGGAGATCTTCAACTATGTCCCTTATCTATGGTTGAACAAAAGATTATCATGGTCTTTTCTAACTCTTGTTTGTTGTTCACCCCCTAATGATTGAGACCACAGTGGTAGAATAGCTGATACCATACATCTTCATTAGCCTCTTGATACATGAAACTTATGGTCCCAAACTGAGCACCACCCATTGTCGTTAAGCTGTAAAATGAACATCTGATCATTAAGATGGGGGAGTCGAGAGAAGACAACAGGTAAGGCAAGCAAACTGCTCTCTTTCACTGGTCTGCCTTATCCACACTGTTCTGAGGGACTCTTGAGGTTGGGAACAGTTTTGGGACCATAATGTTTATGTATATGTATATGTGTATATGTATATATATGCATATATATATATATACACAAAAGAAATGCTTTTAGTTCCTTTGGACAGCTGTATCAGAAACACAGACTTGATCCCGCAACTTTCTTTGTAGCCAAAATACCCCTCAAATCAAGGGCAGATTTTCTGAATAAGGACTCCATAGCATGCCCAGAGTGTTTGGTCACTGTGAAATATGAAGCCAAGTGGAGAATGTCATCTGGTTTCATTTCTTCTAAAGTACGTTCTTCAAAGGACCTTTTCATCCTTTGAATTTGCAGCAAGAAAGACAAAAAAAAAAACAGTGAGACTTAAATGGAGTTAGGAAAAGACTAAAATCTCATTAAAATTATGTATTCCCTGTAAACTGCTTATTAGACTTTAATGCAGCATTTTTCCAAACTGCAAGGGCTACTCGTCCACAGATGCAGGACAGCAGGTGCAGGAGGAGGCATTAGCTAAAACTGGAAGCAGCTTAACCTGGTCGCATGGTGGTGCAACTGGGCTCGTAAGGGAGGGTGGCCTGGACAGCAGAGTTCAGCTAAAAAGAGCACAGGCTTGGGAAATTTTGCTTTGGAGTAATGCATTAAAACTACAGTTTGGTTTACCAGAAACTATACTTCTCAGATTGCTTAGTGCTATGAATCAATGGGAAAGATCCAGGCCATAGGCAAATCGGACAACTTTTTGAACCGTTTGATGCTAAAGTAATCATTTTAAAGTTTTTATGAGTCAATGTCGTGGGCATATCTCTCTGCTTGGTGGAATGTCAAATATCCTTCACATTCACATTGCAAAAAACAAGTCTTTTTGCAACTGTCACCAGCAAGATGATTTCCCCACAGAGATCTCAGCTACAGAGGTACTCAAATAAAAAGTCAGATGTCATCCCATTCCCAGTCTGTTGACTCTAATGAACCAGCAGGACTGGAAGGCTTCTTGTTTTCAGTTTTCTCGCAACTTTTTTAAGTAACCAACAAAAAAACAGGCTTATAGCGGCTAATGTAATTAAGATTTAGCAGAATTCAGAATTGCATAGGACCAAGACTCTTTTCCATGGGCTCTGCTGCTCTGAGTGGGAGAACATGGACAGCATAATAGAGAGAGATAGTACAGAGTGAGAAGTCTGCTCATTTGCTTACTAGTTTGTCCCCTTGTGCAAATCCTGTACCAAAGCCACCTCACTTCCACATGCAAGTGGGACAGAATGGCACCTTGAGAGTGCAACACTGTCGTGTACAGCCTGCGTGCAGCCAAGGTTTGCTTCCTGCCCCAGCATGGCTAGCTGGCAGCAGAGCAACACCAGCTTCTTCAGATCTGGCATCTAGCAATAATACTGTCAGCCATGCTAAGTTCTCAGAGGAACTGCTTGCATAGGTATCAAGCTAAATGCTCCAATCTGTACATGCTAGGGCTTCTCTTTCAATCTAAATTCAATGTGACTTACAGTCTGTTTAAACTCCGAAACATTTCATCCCAATAGCAAATTATTAGGCAAACAAAAGAAAATGCCAGAGTGCTGCAGGTGTTAAAAAAAAGATATTACCTTTGCTTTTTCATCCACCTCATGTCGTTCATCCGCCAGGAACAATGGCAACCATTGTTTTTCTAATCTCTTCTGGACGTACTGCTGAATTTCTAGCAGAATTTCTGGAGAAACCTGATCATGAAGGATCTGTCCCCATCCTCCACCTGAACGCATTAGCTAAGCAATCCAAATACAATAAACACATGACATAAACTTTTGTGCATACTGAAAGTCCTTTATCTCACTACATACTTGATTTAACAAAGCATGAGATTAACTGTAAGCAAAGCATTTAATGCATGCTTACCCAAGGCTCACATGTACTTTTCATAAAAGGGAACAGATTACATTTGTCCCTACCTATAATAGAACACAGACTCCAGCAAATAATACCCCAATGTGACTAAGTTTCTTAAGCATCACGATATATTGGAGCACCACAGTTCAGACTTGCTGTCTGTGGCTTAGTTACTTACACACTAAAAAAAAAGAGAGCTGCAATAGGTAACTGCCTTAAAGCCATTTTGTTTTACACTTCTTCTGAGCTGGGCTGTTCATGCTCTGGCTGTGGCCTCAGATCTGGATTTAGGAGATCATCTTCCTTGGAAGGAAGGAAGGATCCTATAGGAAGGAAGGATCCTGCAGAACAGAACTAGTCTTTTAGGGAAAAATATAGATAACATTGGAGGAGATAGCTTGGGGAAGAGTTGGGGTAAAACTGGTTATGGGCTCTTATCTCAGTGGCAGCTATTAGTGCAACAGCTGTAACAGTTTTGTCACTGGTACCTGTTCCTGTTGTTCCTTTGTGGCAGGGCTCTTGGGCCCAAAGAAGTACTTCTTGTTGAGGTACTTGTTTTTAATGTCCTTAGATTTTTCCTCCCTTTTTTCTTTGTCCTTGTGGAGCATCCTTCTGAACTGTTCAATGTCTAGCCAACACTTGAGATCCGTGCTATGAGCAAATTTAAACAGAGTGTTTTTTCAATATTGAATTAATTTTATCAACCTTCTAGGGAGTTATGAGTTTAGCCACAAGACACCAAAGTGTCCAAGTCCTAAATTCCAGGTCAGACTGGGCAGAAATTTTATGTCAGCTATTCTTTGCTAGATAACAAGGTACATTCTGGTAAGACCATGGGACTTGCTGAACAAATGGGTCAAAATCTTAGGGATCTCAGTCAGGGTCCCTCCTGGAGTACCCCAGCAGGAGTAACCTCTTCCATTTACAGCTGCTAAATCCAGTGGGGACTGTGATTCTGAGCCATAATGCAGAGCTCATGGAATCAATGAAAAATGAAAGAGAAGGGAAAATTGAATTGATATTGCAGGCTGAGAGTCACCAAAAGATGAGTCAACACCCCCCTGCTCTGCCTCCTTTGCTAAAGGACTTCAGAGAAAGTTGTGGGGATGACAGCTGGGAATGTCAGCCCCTGAAATGATCTCCCTCTCCTACCCCATGTGAAGTGATAGAACTTGTGACTCAGTCCACAGGCAAGCAGACAAAAACAATTTATGGTGAATTTTGTTTCTAGGGCTTTTTGTGGTCTGCCTGTCCATAAATTACTGATCCCACTACATATTTCATTACTCATAGTAAATGATAAATAATCTCCATATGCAATTCTTGATCTATACGTTATTCATAATAATTTGAGCGTATACTATCAATCTGAGTTTGCTTAAATGGAACATATATTGATTTTGTTCTATAACCGTAGGACTGAATAATTGAACAGAACAGAATAAATTTCAGTTTAATTTATTTTCTATTTTCTGGCAGTATCTTACCATTTGAAGTTTTGTGACCATTTTAATGAGCATATTTACTGTATTGGCAGTATAAGACATGAAGCAGTAAATTCAGATAAATCTGTTTCATCTTTCCATTCTGTTAATAACAAGTGGCTTTTTTGAAATATTAATCTATGAGCAAAACTTCCAAATGCATCTAACTGACTTCAGAGCACATGCCTGCTTTCAAAGGTCTTTTGAAACTCTTACAGACTTCAATTCTATTAAGACTGAAATTGTTGAGCAGAAGTCATTGAAAAATTTCAAAGCGGAAAAGAGCTTGATTTGCCAGTTTGTCAAAATGTGAGAATGTTCACCCACTTGCAAGCAATCTAAGTTACTGTGATTTAGAGAGTCCTCTTGTGTCATCTAACCATGATGACCAAATGTGTCCATCTTTCTCTTAAAAAGCAATTAACTTTTTAGGTAATATTTAGCTTAGGCCACTTACCGATGCTTATAGTAGCATGGTCTACTTTTTACATACAATAAGCCAGGAACGTGTGCATAGTCAGCTGTTCTGGCAAAACTGACATGATAATGCTAATCCACAAAACATGAGCAACACAAATTGTCCCTCAATGCTGTGTGAATACATCCTCTATATTTAACAAAAAAAAATCTAACTGAACTTGATTAAGTTTCATAACAGATCTTGCGTGCAGGTACTCAACAGTCTGGCCTCCATTAATTGTGCAGTTGGCCAAAGAGAGTCATGGCAAATTAAACATTTTTTTTTGTTGCGAAAATTTTTGATACTGCACTAGTTCTAGGATCCCTTCAACTTTTAGTAGCATTATACATCTTGAGAGAAGCATGCCAGCTGGCCCTGAGTTACTATATCTGTACCCAGCACGAAAATGCTTCTTTTTGGAGACTTTTTCAAAAGCTATGGATCACAGTCATTAGTTGAGTAGTCACAGAAACTATTCAGTGTATTCACCCTGGACTCCATCTCAGCAGATGATCTGGTTTCTGATCAGCTTTTAATAATCAATGAAGATAAATATCTGTTTTTAGGTATGATTCATCCAAACCATTTTTAGATGTTCTGTCAAAATTAGAGGAGTTGTGCCCTGCAGCATTTATTTCTGTCCTCTGAATGCAAAAGGACCCTCTGATGATAAGGAGAAAATATGAAGATAAGCATGCAGGCTTGACCAGAGGACCCTGTGCTAGATATCCACCTCTGGATGTCTTTGAAAAATCTGCCCAATATCAAATCTAAAACAATAGTAGCATTCATCTAGAAGTGATAGCAGTATGAAAAATATCAGTTCAGGGGGACCCAAGTTAAAGGAGGACTTTACAATCAACAATTAACAGACTTGCTAGCAGTTATTCATCAAGCAACATTTGCCATTTCCCAAAACGAGGTAGAGATTAGTGTGAGGCTACGGAAAAAAAAATATATAGTTACAAATTTGCTTCTACTAGCACTCGCATTTAAGCAGTTATTCATCAAGCAACATTTGCCGTTTCCCAAAATGAGGTAGAGATTAGTGTGAGGCTACAGTGTGCTTCTACTAGCACTCGCATTTATTTTATTTTATTTTATTTTATTTTTAAAGAGGGGACAGCTTTTCAAAACCACTGCATAAATTTTGTGTGCTGTGAGCTGGAACTTAATTCTGTTCAGTGCAAACACAAAACTGCGGTTGCTCTCACACTGTTAGAATAATGTATTCTATTAGTACATTTTTGTAACATCCAGCTTTAATTTTTAAAATACACTATATTCAAACCGTGTTAAAAGGATAAGCTTTTACTCAGCACAAGCTAGTTGCTGTTATCAGATGTTTGCCACTAATTAGAGCAGAAAGTGAAAGCTGACTGGCTGACAATGATTGTATGACAGGACACTTTTTACAGAGACAGTTACAACAATTCAGTTGTGTAAAAAATGTGAATGTGTATTTCAAAATATAGATGAGCATTAAAAATGTCTAAAATTGAGGAGCATGCAGATAACCGAAATTTGCAGCAAAGATTTCTTCTGAACGACGAAACGAGTAAAATAATAAGAATGAAAAAACGTACCCAGCAGAATGCTCATCAAGAAAAACACGGAACTGTTCTAACTTCAGTTTGTCGTGGATCAAGTCACCCAGATTAGGACCTGCCAGCTCTTGTGGAACTTGATACAAGTGTTCATCTTTTTGGAGAACATCAGGGCTGGTTGGCAGATCGGTGTCAGCTGCAGCGCTCTGGTAAAAGAAATTAATTCACTTGCATAACTAATTTCTTTGCTGTATATTTTGCTCTGTCTCATAATCCTACATTAGATTACTTCTGTCTCCATAGAACAGCTCTGAGATTGCTGAGAAAATAAATTGAGTTAATGCTCCTGTTCTTTATTAGCTTTATTTTTATGTTTTCTTAAACGTATCAGTCCGTGCAGTTTCCATAATCAAATAAACCAATACATAACTGTAATTTACTTGAAATTGAGGAATTTACTCAAGATTAAGGGCTGAAAATACATTCCATAGTCTTTAATGGAAACTATCCCATCAACTCCAACCATAAAATGATCTGATATTGATGCAACTGACAGAAGAACTAAATTTGCAATTAACATAGTGGTGGCTTTCAATCATTCCACAAAATGAACAGTAGAAATCAGTCGGTTCGCTTCTCCAAACTGGCATGCAGTCAGTCTTTCATTGCTGATACTCAAAGTGTTAACCCTCTCTGATAGAAAAAGAGTTTGTTTTTGTTAATAGGTACTTGTGTTACCTCATCCTTCTTGGAAACACTCTCTTGATGCAAAGCCTGGAGCTTTCTAAAGTACACGGAGTCCAGCTGTCGAGTTTCTTCCACCAGCTCCACCTAATAAAAATAATATCTTATGTCATCTGCATAGTACACGTTATAGAAAGATGGAGAACTGGACAGGCAACTTGCCAATGACAGTGGATAAAAAAGGAATATATTTGCCAATAATGAGACAGATGTTTAGAAGACACCAGAAGTCACATCCCTGTGACAGATGAATCAATTAAAAGCTGTGGTAGAACAAAATTTTATTTTAGGTCTGTGTAGAATCACATGTGAAGCTCCGCAGAATACAACTGAATAGTCTAATTGCATCTTTAAGGACTAAATATCATAATAAAGAAAATTAATTATAATGTGATAAAGCATGCCAGGCTCACCTCACATTATATGTGTGCCCATCTCCAGTGCCATGGCGAGGCAAAATTCCAGGTCTTGAAACTATCCCTCTCAATGGGAAGTGGCACAAAGATAGGGAGCCACGTATTTTCAGAAATACAGTTTGAGGCAAGGAAGACACCTTACTAGAATATCTAAACAATTAAAGTGAAAGTTTTCAGATTCTCAGCCATGATCTCTCCCTCACTTTTGTATCAGTTAATGTCTTAATATAATAAATCGTGCGTGATAAGAACTCATGACTTTTTTTTAACTTAATTAGGAGCAGTATGCATATAAGCCGATTCATTTTTCATGTTATGCGCAAATAGTTGATTAGATGCATAAAAGACAGTCTGGTGAACCTCTGAGACAACCAACCCTTTCAAATGGAGGGTTACGATATTTAGCAAAATTGAGTCACTTACCGTACTGATTAGCAATCCCATTAGAAAGATTAGAAAGTACACAAGAATTTATGTACAGAGAAGAGAGTTTTTAGATTGATATTCATTGCGTTTTTGTGTAAATATGAATAGCACACTAATCACCGTGCTATCTGAATGCCTTCAGGCTGGTGTAACTCTCTTCCACTGTTATTTGGAGCTTTTGGGAATTCTTTCGTTTAAATAAAGTGTAATTTAAAAGGAAATACGAAAATAATTCAGAGCATTTTTCACAAACTTTAAACAGAGTATAGATAGAAGCAGCCTGAGAGTCAATAATAAAAAACTCCCCTGTTGTCATATTTTGCTTAAAGATAAAAATGTAGATACATGCATACTATGTCCCAAATAAACAATTTTGCACTCACCTAATTCTTAATAGAATATCGTGTTTCATTATAGGTCAGATATATACTGCTTTAGGAGAGAAAAAAACCAGGAAGCAGAGCCAGGGACAAAACACAGAGCAGACCTGTTGTCGGTGTTCAGAAGAAGTGTGCCTAATGCATCCACCCGTGCTGTTTCTCACAAAAGAGATCCTGCCTCGTAGAACAGGTCATCTTATGTCTGTGTAATAGCTCTTCACAATGAAACATACTGTGCATTCAAAAGGATTTTGTTCTGTTTTGCATGCTCTGATTAAGAAGTTCGTGTTTTCAGGGCATTGAAGTCTGCATGTATCTGAACACTTGCAAATCATCATCTGAATCGAAAGGACAGTAGGAGATTACCCTTCAGTTAACTCAAGGAGATATAACCTGACACAAGCATTAACTTAGCAGAAAACAAGAGTTTTCAGTTTAAATTTTTATTTGCAAGGAGTTCTCCCATTACCAAAAACAGTGCAAATTATGTGCTTAAAGAACATTCAGAAGCAGTTGATAGATGAAGTGACTCAATGACCATTTGCAATAGACATTAGACCATCTAGTATTCTTTATGTATATTGAAAAATATTTACAAAAAGTTATAGTAACAGTAGTCTGGCATAAAAACAAATAAAATTTCATGTTAATGAAATTGTCAACCCATTACATGGTATTCTGTGGGTCGTAAACAATCGTATTTGAAGTGGCTTTCTCAGACGAAGAGAGACTAAAAACTTCAGAAGAGAATATGGCACAAATATGTTTGGATTAGCATGTATCATTCTGAAAAGTTTTAATAGTGTTCAGTCTTTTGAAGTTTCATAAGGAAATTAAGTTATCACAGGATGAGACAGAAGATCCCTTGCGAATTAATTAAAACAGAAAAAAAAAGCCATAAATAAATACATAGCTTTCATAACGGGGTGTGGTTCCTTTTGGAGTCTCACAGGAATCTGTGCTGGGGTTGTTTTTTAAACACATTCAGAAATTATCTGGAAAAGGAGGTGAGTGAGAGAGAACAACGTCTGCAAAATGATTCCACAGAGCAGAAAACTAAATTGACTGTGAAGAGCTGCAGGATACTTAGTGGCTGCGTGATAAGGTCAGCTAAATTCAACTACAATAAACATTAAGTAATTCAAATGGGCTCCAAATTAGAGCCTTACATTAGCTGTTTTACTGAGTAAAAAGATCTTGGAATCACTGCAGATGGCTATTTGCTTCTATTTTGCACGTGCACTCAAAGCTCACCAGGAGTCAAATGGCGGTTAGATTGGTAGGAACAGTTAGGAAAGGAATACAGTGAAAAACAGAAAACATCATTGTGCCACGGAGTAGTCCTTGCTGCATCCATATCTTTGGTACTGTTTGCATTGTGTCAAAAGAATGTAACACATACAGAATATAACACATACTGAGTATAACAAAGGGAAGGAAAAAAAGGTCAAATGGGAGGTTAAATGGTCTAGGGTGCTTTAGTTTCAAAGAGAATTAATTGAAACAACAGAAACATATAAAAGCAGAAGCAACACTGAGAATATGACTAGTAAGAAATGTTCATTGTTTCTCTGTGCCACTGGTTATAACATATAAAATTGGAGCATCGGACAAAATTATGAAGAAGTTTGAAAACAAACCCTAAATCAGCATTCTTTTCACCATCTGCTGTGGCATTTTACAGCGAGGCTGTAAACATAAAACATCTCAGAAAACATCACATGACTTAATGGAGGGAAAAAGGTCATCAAAGACTGTTAAAAAAAAATACACACGAAAAAGGATAAAGCCTCTATTTCATGAACTGCCTTAGTTGCAAAGTGCTGGAAGTTGGCAATATTGCTGCCTGTTTATCCTGCTCTCATATTCTACTCTTACACACCTACTACCAGGCACCACCTAATAGGCCTAAAAGTCCGTTCACGGTTTTGAATTTGCTTTGCTATTCTGCCCATATGTATAAAGACAACACTACAGCTGAAGCAAAAATAATCCATTATGCTACAAATCTTCCACAGAAGGATCTTAACACACTTTGCAGGTGGTAATGAGTGTATGTTCCCACTACATGCTGACAGATGGACCAGAAGCACTCGATGCTATTGCCTCTGCAAGCAGAGATGCTTCATCTTAGACCACAATGGAAGAGAAACAAGAAATAACTTATTGCCTTCCAAATCCCTGTTCTCCATTGCAAGAAGCTTCCATATACAAAAGAGAGAATTTAAGGCTCTGTAAGCAGCATTTTTCTGTACAGTTGAAAGTCCACAAGCAGCAGAAAGCCACATTACCCCCTGCCCTTCTCCAGCACCTCAGCTATTTCTTACTCTGATTTGTGCAAAGCGAAGTGAGAATTGCAGCCTTCCCCTGTAGCTGCACACACCTGCTCAGCCCAAACCTTCAGCAGACTCTGTAGAGCCACATATACCACTGACCCACGTACTTCAGGAAGCCTACGGAGCACAGTTAGCCCTTTTATAGCCTGGCAGCTATCTAAAAACAACATTTGGGGCAAACACAGCTGGATCACAGTATATGATTCCGTTCTATGCTAAGCTGCCTTTTAATTCTGAACACCAAGGAATACAGTTAACTATGGATCCTATCACACTGTTGACACTGTAGAAACCCTACTTATTTTCTGCTAATCATTAGAAACACAAAAGGCTCTTGGGCTATCCATGGTAAGAAATGACTTCTATTCAATGGCACGAGTGCAGAAACATGACACTCCCTGAGTGCAAAGAGAAATTTTGCCATAGCAAGATACATTCCTCACTAATTTGCAGACCTGCATCATCCTTTTGGAGAGGTCTGCTCTCATGATGGAGCCAAACTGTCTGTAGATCAGCATAGAAGGGAGGGTAGGAGCAAAACAGCCTGCAATATTTCTCTCTTCCTGACTGAAAATACAACAGACTCACAGGTGGGTCTGAGCAGGGGCTATAGGGAAGCTTTTGCATTTTTTCTTCCCCCAACATAAGAATCTTTCACAGTATCCTCCAGGTTAGTTACCTTTTCATAAGTGCATCTGTCTTCTTCTACCATCTTCGTCCATGGTTCCAGCAGAAGAGTGAGAATATATTCTTCTGCTGGGTCAAAAAGATCCTCAAAGGCTGGGTCAATATTCTTATAAATCTCATATTTCTTATTTTGACGGAGTCCAATGTCCATATTGGCAGATGGGGCAATGTAAGTTGCATAAAGAAACTACAATAAAAAGAAAGAAAAAAAAAAGTATTTCTTCATCATCATCCATTCTAATGATCATAGTCCGTCAGAGAGACTTGCTATATATTTGTCACTCACTGTCCTGTTATATATTCTAGACAGACATCTCATTACCCCTACCTTGTTTTAATCTATGTTACTATTTTGTCTAAAATTCAGTAATTGCCGAGTTCCCTGCCATTTTTACTCCTATTTGTCAAAATGGTTAGATTGCAAAATAATTCACAATGTAAAGCTTGCATGGAGGGAGATATTTGTTTGATCATTAATTACATTCAGATCAGACTGAATGCAACTTTTGCAGACTTTTGCAAAATACATGCCTGGCCAGCTTGTACATGATTCTTACTTCTTCTGTTTGAATTAAGAGTAGATTGGAATTTGTAATTCTAGATTAAAATTAATGAAAACAAGAAGATTTCAATCTGTGCTGAGATTGTCTTGCCTTGGACACTGATGGGACTCCAGCATCGTACAAAATCCATAATAGGAGATACCAGTGTAGAACTGAGGTGTAAACCATAACCAAACCAGATTTATTGCAGTCTTTATAACATGTAAAAACAGAGAAAAGCTGAACTTAGAAAATGTTCCCTTTCCACTCATGCTTGAAGCATAGAGACATTTTTAAAATTTATTTTGAGGGAACATTTTTTTCAAAGTCACCTAAATCAAATTCTGCTTTTTTTCCCACCTCAAGTTTCATAAATTGTTATATAACAGAATATTGAGAAGTCAGGAAAGAAAAGGAACAGGAACAATTTTAAGAATATCTTATACTCTGATTGCAGCTAGCAAATCAAGGAAAAAGAGATACTGCCATAATAAAAATTCATATAGTTTTAAATGTTTTCTCTTCTTTACATCATCAAAGTCCAAGTAATTTTTAAGATAGTCACTGTTGGAGATCAGATTGTTAGTGTAAATCAGCATTTCTTTTGGGGGTGACACCAATTGGCACCAGCTGATGAGTCCGTCAGATGTTTTGTCAGTGAAGTAAGTGACTAAAATCCCTCTGTAACTAGCAGACAAACAAAGCAGTAGAGGGAAGTAGCCCATCTACTCTGTTTTCAAGTAATAATACTGTTGTATCTAGGTTTCTAGCACAGTCAGAGGAAAAAAATAAGTACATGAAATAATGGCATTTCTATTTGTTTTACATCATATTCTGATTTACTCTCTCTTTGAAACAGCACCAAACTGCACCCGCAGTAGTTCAGGCCTCAGCAACTGAAGATAGTCCCTGCACCCTGTCCTGATGATACACCATGGAGGAACATGGAACTATGGCAGCTCACATCCTCCAGGAAGAGCTTCTGATGATTAGGAAATTTCCTGCCTATGCAGATTCCCCCCCTCTCTACAATGATAGAATCACTGAAAACTAAGATGGTTTGAGGCTACTCTGGCCCACCAGTTACTAGGCTGGTCAATAAAGGCCAGGTGTAAGGGTGAGGTCAAGAAGATAGATCATGGCTGTGAGAGTTTTAGCTGACAAGCAAGATCACATTTGTCCTCACTAATGCTCTTCTCAGAAAATCCCAGAAGGAACTGAAATTTAGCAGAGACAGCATTAATTAAATTCATAGTGATGTCAAATCTTGGAAGTTATTATAAAGAACCCTAAAACTAATAAAGTTTCAGTTATGTCATCTTTTAATCTGATCCAAAACATTTAACATAAAACATAGCCAAACAAGAAAGAAACATTTCAGCAGTATAAAGATCTGGTATCTCTAAAAATAGCCTTTTTAAGGAGGGGTCGACCAACTTATTCATTAGGGCTACATTGGCCCACCTGTTATGACTCATAGAACCACACAAGGGATCTATAAATTGGTGAAAGGGGGCCAAAGTAGATCTTCAGTATTTTAACATACATTTAAACTGGTTACTTAAATGACTGGTTGTCTTTAACATAATTTTAAGGAAAAAAAAAAAAAAGTTCTACATCTTCCTTGGATGTACCTTGGAAAACTGACTTCCCTTGCATTAAATGGATTAACTTGAATATGTTTTTCGACTCTTCTTTACAGTTGACAAAAACTATCAGTTTACAGGAAAAGAAATTACCCAGATCAAGAGGCTTTGACCAAAAACTATTAAAAATCCAATCACACTGGTACTGTGATAGCATATTACTGTGTTAGGGTCTGCCTTTGCCAGCTTCTCTACCTGTAGACTGCCCTTCTATAGTTTTTAATTTCAGATATGAAACTAGAACATAAGAAAGGAAATAATAAAAACGGGCATTTTGTTTTCCATAAACAATACAGGAAGAGTTAGGGCTGGCAACATATACATGAATAGAAATTTAGGCAGATGAATTAGTTGTAGGAGCGCACTTTATCAAACTAGACTGGATCCAGCAGTGCTGTGTAGATTTCTTCATCTTTAAGAGGCGCAGATTGATATTCTCTAAGGATTGGGCAGAATACCATCTTTCTCTTTATATTCTTCAGAGTCTATT